TCCAACCCAAATCAAATTGCAATTTGGGTCGACCCGATTTCGAATTGGGTCAGGTTGCAATTTGGGTCAGAACATTATTATTATGACTTTGGGAAAGCATTAACAATTCGTTTTGATTATTACAAAAACAAATCATATGGGGAAATGGCAAGTTGGGTGCTTGTCAATGCAGAAATTCGGGATCGACTTCCTAATACACCACGAAGGAAGCATTCCGCAAAAGAATGGAAAAGTCTTGGAAGATATATAGTTTATTCAGTAGTCTTGCAAAAAGTGATGATAAGTGTAAAGAAATAATCGAGTGGATTAGAACATTTTCTCCATCAGCCATTGCAAGGCTAACTTTGGATGATATCGAATAGGTTGTCGCAAATATTTTAAGAGCAACATCTCAATTGTAATATAGCATCAGCAAAATTGAAACTCACGCCCGCAGTAGATAGCATGCCTGTGACAAAATGATTGTGATCGGCATTTGTCCTACTCATCATTGTGTGACAGAAAAAAATAGTTTGACGTGTTTCTTGCCTTATAACTACGTCAATATCAAAACTTGTACCTGTTTCTGTACCTGTATCGAACCCATATGACAACTTACCAGTTACTGGAACAAAGAATAAAACTCTGCTTATAATTACCGCTACGTTCCGCATAGCACAACCTCAAGAAGAACTTCCTATTTTGCTTCAAAATTTTTAAAGGCAGGATTGTGTTACTTATTTGTCGAAAAATAGCCATGTCTGGTGCAACGGAGGTTTCTACTTCTCTTGATCGTCCGTTGAGGGATGTCGATTGGTACCGCCAGCTTTGGTGGAACACCGGTAACTTTCACCCCAAAGCTAAGTGGAATGAGGCGACGTAAGTCCCCTATTTGCTTCGACGACTCGATATTTTTTTTATAAGCTAGTGGCTGATATCAGTTGTTATTTATTGCCAAGATTACCATACGCGCTCAAGACTCATGTGACGTTAGATGAGTATATTTTTCAAACCGATAAACATAATGTGAAGGGTCTTTGGGAATGGGAAAACGAAACCGTTCGTGTTATTAAACTTCCTTCAGACTTTCATGGGAAGAGTGTCGGTACAATTGTAGGGGAATTGGCTATTGCATTTCAAGCCGTGAGATATACTCTTTCCGGTGTTACTTTTTCTGAAGCGACGAGTAAGGGTTTTATTGGTTTTCTTAATGCTAATATATTCTAAGTATGTTTCTATTACTCACTATCTTTGACTAAAAGCATCAAAAACACACGGAGGCGGAAAAGAGCCGGATGCCTCTCTCACACCTTCAGGAAAACCTCCAGTTACTTCTGGTGGATATGATGGAAAGGTATGAAGAGTTTTCAACCTTGTTCATTTGCTGATGTGATTGTGTTGAATTTCTAATGTTTATGACGACATATACTCTTAGAACAAACCATGGCCTAATGTTGTAATAGAAGTAGCTTATTCCCAAACCGAGCTTGAGCTTAAGAAGAAGGTAGAGACTTACTGGCTCAGTAATAATAGAGTCCACGACGTAATTGCCATTAAGCTAAACTACACACCAGATGATACGGTTCCAACAGAGATGACGGTGAGTAATGACAATTTCTGCACAGTTTCCTTGGCACTATTTGAGTAATGTTTATTCTTTGATAGGCTTGGCATTATTGCGTAAACAATCGAACAGCAGTTGGTGCATTCACCCCTATAATGGTATGTTATATTATTACATACTTTTTTAACACAGAATTGAATGAATCTAATATATTCTCTACTCAGTATGAATTTGGGACCATTAATCGTCAAGGCGATCCAATCAACATTGTCCCAGGGCAATGCGTTATCAACATTCCACTGGGATGCATTTATCACGGAATGCCAAAAGACTTTGTGATTCCCTCCCCTCCCCTACCTAACCCTATTCCCTTCGATCTCTTTTCTATTCGGTGGACTCTTTTAAATACTCTTTGAGATACTGTGGAATGACTATATGTGGATACCATATTTCAAGTTCAAGTCTCGTCGAGTGTTCTGATGTTTGGATGTTATCGGTCTCTGCATATTTTGCTACGCGTGCCCGAAATTATTAGTGGAACTAGCATATTTTTCTTGGCAAAAGAATAATTGAATAAATCTACATCTTATAAAAATATTATCGAACATGCATTCTGAATTAGATTTGTTGAAAAAATGCATCACTGAGCTTGAGATCGAAAATGCGAAGCTTAGGCAGACCATGAAAGAAAAATCTGACCTTGAGGCTGAGAATTCCAAGCGTAAAGCTGAGAATGTTAAACTTAAAGCCGAAGAGCGAAATTAAGACATGACATCGAGGAAATCAAACTACAAACCCGAGTTAATACTAATGAACAGGATGCATCTCTTGTTGAAGATATTTCGCAGTCCTCAGCTTATTTAGAATCACTGGTAACCATTGAGGCCCAAAGGGGCACTAGAGGGTGTCAAGCCTAGGTCTTAAAGGCGACGTATTCCTCAGTGATTTCCGCTCAATGGTACAAACATTTCCGATTTGTGGCAC